CAAAATTTATAAAAAATATAATAAATATACTTTTAATTTAAACACTAAATACAAGATTAGAGAAACTCATTTTACCTGTACATGGAGATAGATAACGCGACCTAACAATTTCTATCAGTAATATTATTAAATAAAACCTCTTGCTGGCTTGGTTGTAATTAACTGGTAACTAGCACTGTGATTTTACAGCTCCGGCTATCTTCAAACCTTCCCTTCCATTTTCCTCTTGCGTGTTAGCAGAGCCCACATGTGAGTAGGTATGTTAAGTAAGAAAATCTCATATCAGTTGAGTTAAATATAAAGAAAATTACTTTATTTATTATCAATTGATTTTAGGTTAAATGTAAGACTTGTATTGAGTCACGTCTACAATATTCATCCTGCGGTCCTGCCTCATAAAAGAGAGGATAAAGCGACGTGAACGCGACTACTCCTAACTTTTCAACTACCTCGCATTTAAACTTTCCTCAATAACTAACAGCTCAAAGTGAGAAACTCTAGAATGGTGGTTTTTGAATATATGGAGTCCAGAGAAAAGCAAGAAGAAAACAGCAGCAGGATAAGTGATGAGGTGGGGAAGACAAAAATAAGTCTCATGAGAGCTTTACTTGAAAAACAAGATGCCTCTTCAAAGGTGCATTTCTTCCTTCCACTTTCTTCCCTGTTTTGTCTCAGTGTAATTCCTGCAACCAAATTACAGAGAAATTGTTCATAGTGTATGATTGTTGTGAACATGACTTAAGAAAGATGATGCAGGAAGTAGATGATCTGACGATCAGAAGGTTTCTGCGAGCTCGTGACTTGGACATAGAGAAAGCTTCTGCCATGTTCCTCAAGTACCTGAAATGGAGACGAATGTTTGTTCCAAATGGTTCCATTTCTGCATCAGAAGTCCCAAATGAGATCGCACAGAACAAGATGTTTTTACATGGAAGAGATAAGAAAGGAAGACCAATTACAGTTGTTCTTGGTGCTAGACATTTTCAAAACAAAGGAGGTGTGGAGGAATTCAAGCGTATGTAGTAACAATTCTGAAACATTTATCAAACTCACTCTAGCAAATATGTGCTAAGCAAATCTGATTTCTGAGAATGGTATTTTACAGGCTTTTTAGTGTACGGTCTTGACAAAATATGTGCAAGGTAATCGTCTTTCTCCTTCTATATATCAATCATGTCTGGCCTCCACAACGGATTTAGTTTCTACTTAAAACTGAGCATGATAGAAACTGCGGGGAAAAGAACTAAAGAGCCTATGTTGTACATTGTATCTGATGGAACCTTGATTCAACAGGATGCCTCCAGGACAGGAGAAGTTTGTCGTGATTGGCGACCTTGAAGGCTGGGGATATGCAAACAGCGACGTCCATGGATACATGGCAGCTCTATCCATTGTCCAGGTTTAGGCCTTTAACCCCCATATTAGCGGTGGAAAAGACCAATAAGAGAGGAGAACATGTAGAGTTAATTAGAAAAGTTGGCAGCACTTGAAAGAATTGTTAATGGTAACACTAACATCATTTGTTCACTGACTATGGCAGGACTACTACCCAGAAAGACTTGAAAAATTGTTTATTGTGCATGCACCATACCTGTTTATGACAGTATGGAAAATCGTTTACCCTTTCATTGATAACAAAACCAAGAAGAAGGTAAGAAATGCTGATTCTGGCCTAGTTTAACTAGCTACTGTCCTATTACAATATATTGACACTCTGCATTTACATATACTTGCAGATAGTTTTTGTTGAGAACAAGAAACTGAAATCAACACTGCTTGAAGAGATCGATGAGAGCCAGCTCCCGGTTATTTATGGAGGCCAACTACCGTTAGTTCCAATAAAAGACAGCTAAAGGCAAATAGATATTCAATCCTTCAATGTCTAGAGCTTAGAATTTTTTTTTCTTTGTTTTGCCTTCAGTGCAGTACGTCTGTGCAGAATAAGGAATTTGGGTGGGGCGGGTGACCAAAAATCTCTGCAAAACTAATAAACAGAGATGGTATGTGGATCAAACCATTTCATTAGCAGAACTAGGAACAATCTCATGTGAAACGTTCACATTACAATTATGAATGTGACAATATCTGATCAGGTGAAATTTTTCACATGTCAGAGACAATAAATTCTGTTTGTTTCAAAGTTCTTCCAAAGCATTGAAGGCCCCAAATAACAGTGCCTTGTATATTGCTACGCTTTCAGGCTTCAAGAATATAACAGTGCCAATGATATGATCTAGAAGAAATGTAAAGTAATAGGAAAATGATTGGAGTTGACAAAATGATACAGCCCCAGTGAAAACATGGATTTGCAGCCATATACATGGAAAAATTTCTTTACCAGCCTAAGTAGTTGTTCGCTAGCATTTGATTTGGTTGAAATTATGCAAAATTGCATGATGACATTATTTAATAAGGTGTAAAAATTAGGTACCGGTGGTTGAGATTTTTTTTTATAAATATCAATGTATGCAAAGGCGAAAGCAAGTAAGAGAAATTGAGAAGAGTTAAGTGAGTGCTCTTGTGAGAAGAAAAGAAACAAATTGTGACATAATTTTTGTGAAGATTAAGAGAGTGTATTAAGGAGAATTTGAAAGTTTTTATATATATATTGAAATTAAAGTATTAAGAGCTTCTAAATTATTATATTTTTTTAATAGTAGATTTATTTTTATTATTTTTGGTAAATGTAGATTTATTGTGAGATATACAAATTTAATTATATTAAATTGTTGTTTTAAATTCTTTATCATTTCTATTTATGTGGGATTGTAGTGCTCAAAGTTTCCTAATAATTGATATATCTTTTAATTTAACATACTTTACAACAAATTTGCAAAAAGAGTTTTCTCATGGGATAGTATGATACAATCTTAATTGTGTGGTGCAATTAACATTAGGTGTGATGCTTAAAAGATTTTTTTCACTTTAGATGTAATGTTTAAAGAAATTTTAGTGTAATTCTTAAGATTTTTTTTTATGTTATTATTTTTAAATTTGAATTAAAGATAAAAAATATAAACTTATAAATTTTAATAATTAAATTGGTGAATATTGATAGATACAGTAAGTGTTGATTAATGTATGTACGAAGAGGTATACTAGTTATTTTTCAAAGTAATATTTAATTTGTGTCAAATTGAACTTCCATATTTATAAAAAAAAAGGCTTAATTCAAAAAATCATCTACTAACTTTCAATTTAATTTCATTTTAGTTTAGAAAGTTTGTTTCGTTTCTAAATGATCTAGAAACTTTGAAAAATATTTCAAATTAGTCTACCGTACAAAAATTATGTTAGATTGCCGTTAGATTTGAGGGAAGAACAATCCTTTGAGTTTTAAAAAAGTGGCACTTAAATCCCAATAAAATATGATAAATAAAAAAAAGTTTATAGAGATAGATTGTAATTCAAACAGAGAAATTCAGTAAATTTAAAATAAAAAATTTCATAGGTAAGTCTGTTTTATAGGACAAACTATGTATAATATGCCTTATAAAATTATTTAAATGTTCATGAAAAAATAATATAAAAATAGAATTAAGGGTATTTAAATAATTTTACAGGGTGGACTAAATGTAGTTTACTCTGTAAAATAATTTTCTGAAAAACACATTTAGTAAAATAAGAATAAAAACTATTTTTACTATGAATATAAATTTAAGAACTAAAAGATTAAAATAAATATAGTTAGAGTACTAAATTTAAGAAGATTTCCATTAAGATTTTTGTTAACTTTACCTGCTTAGATGAAATTGAAATAAATGTGAAAGATAATAGACAAAATTGAAACAATTCAAAAATAATAGATGAAACTGAAATTAAATTGAAAGTTAATAGGTGATTTTTTGAATTTAGCCAAAAAAAAAAATTGAACTTCCATATGAAGGAATGTTTTTAACATTTTGAGGCATCAAAAACCGAAGACTACCCTAAATTCACAAGGAAAAGAAATAAAACACGTTCTAGTTTTATCAGGGAGAATCGGGAGGTGAGGCAAGCGAACTTTGAGAAGAGGCCCATCGGAGAGCCACCGGGGTCCGACCGTTGAGCTTCCGAGCTCCGTTTCCTCGCATTTTGCCGATACGGCGGGATATCGGCATTGAGAACGACTGGGCTTACGATCCTTGGGCTTCTTGGGTCAAATTTTTATTCTTTTGAGAAAATGGGCTTGAGGCCCTATTGACAAATCACCGTAATTTCCGCGTGGCAGAGTGGAGACAAATAGGGAAGGATTTGGCAACAATGTGGACGGATAGGCGACAGCGAAGCTTACATGTATATATTGATGATATATATGATTGCTTCATCATAGGCTAATGCCGCTGCCTCCGCCGTGTCAAAAGTCCCGAGCCACACCCGAGCTGCCTTCTGTGGGTGCCGTATCTCGGCGGCCCATTTTCCCCATGGCCTTTGCCTCACACCTCCATAGTGTCTTCTCCTCGTATTCTTTTCAAAATAAACATCTTAATATCATTAATTAATCATCAATAATTTAAATAATTCGATAATAATATTTTTTTAATAAAAATAAAAAATACTAAATTCTAATCGAATAGCATATGCAAACGAAATAAATTAAATAATAAAATCTCCCATATTATACAACCTAAGGTAAATATATATAATTAATTAATCAAAGTTCATTTTGTTTGTTCATTAAAAATATAAAAGTCCAAATAAAAAATATTGGTTCAAGACAAAAAAAAAGAAAAGAAAAAAGAATTAAGAAGAAAAAAACACTTCCTAGATGGTATATATGGTGTGTGTGTGTATATCTGTATGTGTGGAAGCATACCTTGATCTTGGTCTTGTTGGCCTGAGACGATGTTAAAGGATTCTCATGATGCACTTGAACTGGGTTACTACCCCTGTTCCCTATAACTTGAGCTAGCGCTGCAACCATTTCAGGCATGTCTTGCTGTGACCGAGCTAAGTAGATGGGGAAGGTAAGATCTTCCTCTTTCTCCTCCGGTTCATCAAATGGTAGGGGCCTCTTCCCATGTTTCCGATCCACTTTGTTAGCTTCTGAACCCTCATTTTTGTTATATCATGCAAAAAAGAAGCAAGAAAATTCTCCAAGATTGGGAGGGTTTAAGCTTGAGATTGTTGCATTTGATGTGGGAGCAAGAAAATGATCGAGAGAAAATAAAAAGACAAATTTTTGCTACTATATATTTGAGATTGGGGAGTGAGAAGAAGGAAGAAATAGTTAGGGTTTTGATGAAACTAGGGATTTAATTTGTTTTTCTTATCTGTGAACAGTATCACAAATGGACTTAAAAGAGTTTTTGCCTTTTTAATATACTGGATAGTCTAAAAATAGAAAATAAAAATCTAATTTTAAAAATTGGGCTTGTGACCCACTGATGAAAAGAGAGAGGCCCAGCCAAAGTCCCATAAGGTCGGTTTCAGTCCCGATGCCGTCAAAACAGCCGAACCTCTTGTTCTAGATTCTAGAAGCTTAACCTCCTTCATCGTTCCTTCGCCGAAACCCTAATTGCATCGACGATCATCTCATCTTGCTTAGGTATGTTCCATTTCCTCGTTTTCCTGAGCTAATTCTATATCGATTTTGCTGAATTCTATTCATTTTCTTGGAGTATCTGTATTCGTCGAGGTGTTTTCCCATGGGATTTTCGTCTAAAAATCGATACCTGAAAAATAAATGATTTGCAAAGAGGAAATTTATAAATTGAGGCTTGTTTCAGCTTAATTATTGAACAAAAATCGACAACACCTGCACTAACATATGGGTTTTTTGTTCTAGTTTCCTGGGAACTTGTCGTTTGGCGGGTGTTTATTTGTATAATATTCGGCAATGGTAAGTATGCTTCTAGCTTCTTCTCTGATGGTTTTGATCTTCATAATAGTCAAGTTTGAGCCTTTGTGCGGATTTTGCCTTTTTATTTAGTTTTCATGGCATTCGTTGTATTATGCCCTGGGATTAGCAATGTAGTTATCACTTTTGTAACTGGTAGGTAACGCTTAGAGTTGTAGCTGTTGTGGGTTTGTGAAGCTGTATTGAATTTAGAGCCTTGTTTTCGACTCCTAAAATGGTGCAAAATAAGATGGCTGGAATATAGGACTCATTAGATTAGTAGAAGAATGTGGGTAATACTTGAATGATGTTCTTTCCACTATTTATGTCATGTCAAGGGTGTAGGAATATAGAAGCTTGGTTCTGGTTCGCTATGTAGCAGTAGCATTGAATGTGTCCTTGTAAAGTGCTTGCTAGCAGGCCAGCAACCTTGCACTGGGGGAGGGGTTGCCAGTTGATTTGCACGTCCCTTGTAGTATATATAATTGAAAACGTATAGAATTGTTATTGAGCCATCAAAGCAAGGCCCTATGTGCTGCCTTCCTGGAGCCCTTTTTATAATGTTGTGCTTAACTGGTTATTCCTTTTTAAGTTCCAGTTGGCACCTAAGAATTATGTTTTCTCAAAAATCAGTGTTAGCAGGTTTTGCTTGCTATGTGGTTGTGGCAAAGATGCTAGTTCCTGTCAAGCTCAAAAAGACAGTACTTAAACCCTCAATTCAATTATTATGGCTTCAATAGATGATTATAATAAACTCATAATGCATCTCTGTCTACATGGTGTACTTATGCATAAGCATTTTATCGTCATTTGATACCAGAATGAAGACTAACTTGCTACCTTCCATTTGATGTAAATTTTTAGCCTGTAATTAGTGTAGCTTGCTGAAAAACTATAAACCAAATGATTTGGTGCTTGATTATATTAATGATTCTTGCCAACAACCAAGTATCATGTGGTTAATTCACAGTCATATGCTGCAGGCTGCAAAGATTCTTGCCAACTTGATTGTTATGGGCTCTGGAATACTGGCCCGAGCTGTGGTTCAAGCCTATCGCCAGGCACTTGCAAGTATGTTGTGTTGTTCCACACTTAGCAGTTGAATGCATTTAGGAATGTGATTTTTTTTGTCATCTGCCTCAATGTTTTTTTAGTCCATAATTAATGCTTTGTGGTTGATTGCAGATGCTGCAAAATCTGGTGTTGCTCAAGAAACTGTACAGAATATCAGGAGAGCAGGCAAAGTTATGACTGATACAGAGGCCAGACAGATTCTGGGGGTCACAGAGCAGTCGTCTTGGGAAGAGATCCTGCAGGTTTGCTAGAGGTTTTTACTAAATATGGAGTTTTATATATATATATATATATATATATATAATATTATAAATTATAATAAAAATAATTAGTTATTAAATAATATCTCAAATTATATAAAATAATTATATTTTTTTATTTTAATTTTAATAAATTTAATTTTTAATTTATTACACTTATATATTATACGACTCAAATTTTTTATTTTTACTAAAAAAAATAA